GTCAAGCTTCCATGCCAATGAAATTCTGGGGAACAACAGTTTTAACTGCTACATATATCATTAACAGACTTCTAACTGTTGTTCTAAACAATGTTACACCATTTGAGTGTTTGTTTCATAAAGCTCCCTAGTATGGCCATTTCAGAGTTTATGGCTCATTATGTTTTGCTAGCACCTTACAACATAATAGAAATAAGTTTCATCCAAGAGCCATAAAATGTGTTTTTGTGGGATATCCCAATGGGGTGAAGGGATACAAACTCTATAATCTTGATAATCATTCTATTTTCATCTCTAGGGATGTCGTATTTTTTGAATATGAATTTCCCTTTTCTTCATCATCTGCTACATCCTCTATATATACTCGTGATGCACAATCCTCCTTATTTGACTTCTCTGCCCTTCATCCTTTACCACAATCTCAAATTCCTACTGACAATGCTTCTTCCCCAACAGCTTCTGTTCCTTCCAATCCTAATTCATCCACTCCTGTGTTTAATAATCTTCCTACTTCTCCTGCTAATGCACATCCCCTGCTGCTCATCTACAGCCAGATGTTTGTTCTGATCCTATACCTCTAAGAAGGAGTACAAGAGTGACTAAACCACCATAGTACTTAGCCGCATATCATCATGACTTACCTGCTAAATCATCACATCTGCCTACAACACATCCTATTTAGAATTTCCTCTCAGCATCCCAACTTTCAGATTCTCATTCTGCTTTTACTACTGCTTTGTCTCTTCTTGATGAGCCAAAATCCTATTTTCAAGCTAAGGATCATAGCCATTGGCAAGAAGCCATACAAGCTGAATTACTTGCCTTGGAAGAGAACAACACTTGGTCAATTGTTCCCTTACCTCTAAACCAGCATGTAGTGGGTTGTAAATTGGTATACAAGGTGAAGTTAAAATCTGATGGAAGCATAGAAAGACATAAAGCTAGACTAGTGGCTAAAGGTTATAGCCAACAAGAAGGATTTGATTATCAGGAGACTTTTGGCCCTGTTGCAAAACAAACTACTGTGAGGGTGTTTCTTGCTCTGGCAATTCATTTTGATTGGTATCTTGTTCAACTTGATATTAACAATGCTTTCTTATATGGTGATTTGAAAGAAGACGTTTATATGGATCTTCCTTTGAGCTATGCAGTTGATAAACCTCCTCACTGTCCCACAGGATCCAGATTAGTGTGCAAACTAAATAAATCATTGTATGGTCTTAAACAAGCATCAAGACAATGGAACACTAAATTTTCTGCAGCTTTGTTTGAGTATGGTTTTGTTCAATCAAAGGCCGATTACTCCCTGTTTACAAGATCCACTACTGAAGGATTTATTGCATTGTTAATTTATGTTGATAACATTGCTATAGCTAGTAACTCCACTGTACTCATTGCTGATCTCAAAATGTTCCTTAGCTCCAAGTTTAAACTTAAGGATCTGGGTTCATTGAAGTACTTCTTAGGTCTTGAAATTGCAAGATCTGACAAGGGAATTGTAGTCTGCCAAAGAAAATATGTGTTGGACCTGTTGAATGACCATGGGAAATTAGGCTGCAAACCTGTCTCTACTCCCATTGATCCTAATCATAAGTTGCCCAAGGATAGTGGAACTCTTCTTGCTGATGCTTCATATTACAGACAGATAATTGGGAAGTTGATATATGTCACTTTCACTCGTCCCGACATCTCTTATGCTGTGCAGATTTTATCTCAATATATGGATAAACCTACTGGTCTTCATTTACAAGCTACACATCGTGTATTGAGATACTTGAAATCTTCCCCTGGAGCTGGCTTGTTCTTCTCTGCAGGTTCTTCTACACAATTGAGGGCTTTCTCTGACAGTGACTAGGCTGGTTGCCCAGATACAAGGAGAACCGTTTCTGGCTTCTATATTTTCTTGGATGATTCTTTGATCACATGGGAGTCTAAGAAGCAGAATTTGGTGGCACGAAGTTCAACTGAGGCGGAGTATCATGCTATTGCAGCCACTACTTGTGAATTGATGTTGCTTTCTTCTTTGCTCATTGACTTTCGCATTACAGTTTCATTGCCTATCTCGTTACATTGTGATAATCATTCTACGATCTATCTTTCTCGTAATCCTGTGTTTCACGAGCGGAGTAAACACATTGAGGTGGATTTCCATTTTGTCCGGGATCAAGTTCAAAATCGTTTCTTGCATTTACTGCATTTGCCCTCTTCTGATCAGGTGGCAGATGCATTCACCAAGGCGTTGCAACCTTCACATTTTCAACACTTAATAGGCAAAACGAACATGCTCAACATCCATATTCATCTTGAGAATTGGTTACAATAACTAACTCCTATCTATATATATATGGCTGTACATCTAAGATGCGAAGAAAAAAAAAGAAATAAGTCCTCTCAAATTCCTTTTCATTCATTTCTTTGTTCTCAATCTTTTTCTTCATTTCTGTTATTGGCCAAAACTATTGATTTGATCAGCAAGTTAGTGATTCATGCGGTTAAATTGTCAATCCAAACAATGGTTTTTTATCGTTTTTTTTTAACTTTTTTTTTGTTAGAGCAGGCTGTCTGTTCAGTCCGAACGATCGGACTGTTCAACCCGGGAATTGACCCAGAATGATTCCTTGTCCTGTCCAGTTTTAAAAACCTTGTTAAACTTAATGGAAAGATTCAAATAGGGTATTGAGAAAAACAATGAGCCTGTTTTGGCTTGCTAACTGCTCTATCTGAACAGCCATCTGGCCACTTGTAATGAAAAAAAAAAAACAGTATAGCATAAATTGGAGAGCAGGTAGTAGCCACTTTATTTGTAGGCTAATGTCACTTGGGAACAAACACGAACAGTTGATGGTGGAAGTTAGGGTTGGCGTAGATGAGTAAGTGAGCACATGCACAATCCATAGAATAACCTCTGTAATGGACATTTCAGATTGGTGATCACCCATCAAATGAGTCCATGTTTGGTAGAAGTAGTAGACTGTCCAAAGAAATAGCTTATGCATTCAGTGTCTTGTAGGAAGGACAAAATTGGTTCAAAAGCCAATAATGCATGCCAATGAACTGTCACACCGAACCTTGGTTAGGTGTGAAACCCTTCAGATTCCCACTCAGTGCTCTAGGCATTTGTGGGCCTTCACCAGAATAATAGTTTGAAGAAGAGCTTTGGTGTATAACTCTCAATTCAATACAATTTAGAGAATCGATCCCTTTTGTGATGGCCAACATATAGATGGACGTAGAATGTAATCATCTCTAAGAGAATTCATTTGGTAGAAGTTGAGGACAAGATTAAGTAGTGCGTTTGGGATTCCATCTTTTGGTTATCAAAAGGAAGAGAGAAATGACTCTACAAGCCATGAACTGTGTTAGGTATGAAACACATAAGATTCCCATTTAGTTGTATGCATGGGGCCAAATCTCCCAATACTAGACTGTTTTATAGAAAATAAATAAAACCAGTCTCAATTACAGTTGATAAAATTTTCAATTTCAATTCAATTTAGAAAGAGTGAAAATACAAATATGTACAGTGTAAATCCAAAGTTTTAAAATAGAATTCGGGTTTGCTGAATGCGATGGCTGTTCAGTGGGCTGTGAAACCAATGATGAGGTTTCACACTAACAATAAATTTATGGATTCCACTGTAAAAAGGTGTGGGTCCACAGCCCGTTGAGCAACCATCGTGTTTAGCCAAACCTTGTTCTTTGAAATCTCATATACTAAGCTTTGCACTGAACATATTTGTGTTTATAAATAGACAAAATTAAGTTTATTTAAAATCTAAATCCCCATTTGATCCTTAAAAACTCTAAATTAAATTTTTGAAAGGAGTCTTAGATTAATTAGGGGAACAAAATGGATTGGCTTTGATTGAGGATTTGTAAAAATTTGGCTGAAGCCAACTTAATTTTGTGTGAATTCAACCTAAAATTGGCCAGGTATCAGACTTGAACCTCTTGTTAAACTGATCACACTTTCAATTCCGGTTCAATCTGATTATGGCTATGGATGTCCATATCTGATCAGATAAAACTAATTGCTTTTGAATTCGATTAGTATCCATTTACACAACTAGGCTCTCTTGTCTGTGTGTGCACATCAATTACATTAATTAAGGATAAAACCTAGGGCTGCAAATGGAATGAATCAAATTGGATATAGGAAAAGTCAAATTTGATATTCATTTATATTTGAAATTTAATTTGATCCTATACACTGGATTTATAGTGGATTTAATCAAATTTGGATTGCAATAAGATATTAAATATATAGTATACAGAAACTAAATTAAATTAAATTTGACTTTATTAATAAAATGAATTAAATTTCATTTTTGATATTGTATTTCATGATGAACCAGATGAAATAAAATAAATCTAATTGATAAAATGGAAATTTCTAAATATATATGAGCTTATATATTTTTCAATCAGATTGAATCAGATCATACCCGATCGGATAGGGGTAGGTCTAATCTAGGATCAATCTTTTTTTTCTTTTTCTGATTTTTTTTTTTCAATCTAAGGATAAAATTGGGATGCTGCATGTTAACGGGGTCGAATACAAATTTGGATTTGGGCAATGCGATATAAGTTTGCAGCCCTAAGAAAACTATTATAAAAACGGTTGAAACCTGTTAAGCAAGACAATTGACATGAGGCCAATCCCTCTAATTGGCTACTAAAGTCGCTGGCTGAAAGTCTGATGAAGTAGTGTAATAACCATGAGTTATAAAAAACAGCAGAAATATATATAAAACAGGGGGAATGACCAAATGAGAGAATATAAAACTAAGGCTGATAGGCAACAGAATCAAGCACATGGGTTTGCCAGATTGTCATCCGCCACCCCTTTATCACCGTCCTTGTGACGACAATAAAGCAAAGAGAAAACATTTCATCAACGTACTGATTTTAACCTAGAGTTCATTGAAATTCCAAACCTGGTGCAAGTATAAATAATGATACAACTTCGTTGGATAAAGTAGCAAGAAGTAAGAAGAGAAAGCAATTAATAACTTGAGCTGTGAAAGATCAAAGTGAGAGAGATGGTGAAGGTGACTTTGAAGAGTACATACACAGTCAAGCCAATAGAGTCGACGCCAATCCATCGCCTTGATCTATCAGAGATAGACCAGGCTAAGGCCTGGACTCATTCTCCAACCGTCTACTTCTACAGACCCAACGGCCAGCCCAACTTCTTCTCGGCAGAAACTGTGAAGACTGCATTGAGCCAAGCTTTGGTGCAGTTCTATCCACTGGCTGGACGTATTGAGAAGGATAAGGAAGGTCGTCTCGAGCTCAACTGCAACGAGAAAGGTGCACTGTTCGTGGAAGCCAAGTCTGATTCAGACATAGATGACTTGGGTGACTTTGCGCCAACTTCAGAGCTAAGGGGATTAGTTCCTTACGTCGACTACAACGAGACCCACATAAGCGAATGGCCATTAGTGCTGGTTCAAATCACTTCATTTCGATGTGGTGGCATTTGCTTAGGCTTGGGAATATCGCACATAGTAGCTGATGGAGCCGCGGCGATGTTATTCGTCACTTCATGGGCACAGATAGCTCGAACTGGGAGCAACGTTATAGGCCCAAAATTGATGCCATTTATTGATAGAACTGTTTTACGGGCTAGAGTTCGAAAAGATGCAGCAGAGAAGACAACCAAGTTTGATCATATAGAGTACAAGCGGCCACCGGTGCTGGTGAGTCAAGTGGACGAGACGGAGGAGCTGAAGAAGGAAACTACTGTGGCTGTGCTGAAGCTAAGCCAATACCAAGTTGAATCCTTGAAGCGACGGGCCAACGAAGGAACCATGGACGAGCGTGAATACACTCGCTATGAGACCTTGGCCGGGCACATGTGGAAATGTGCATCGGAAGCGCGTGGGTTGGTGGACGAGCAGGAAACCAAAGTGCACGTCTCCGTTGACTGTCGCCGCCGCTTACGGCCAGCTTTGCCTGCAAATTACTTTGGAAACGCAACGTTTCCGACAACTCCGGTGGCGAAAGCGGGTGATCTAATATCAAAGCCGCTCAGTTACGCTGCAAGCAAGATTAGAGAAGGTGTGAGGAGGATGACGGATGAGTACGTCCGGTCGGCGGTTGATTTTCTGGGAAGTCAGCGTGATTGGAGTCAATTCAGGACATCGTTTCATTCGATAGACGATAAGGCCAAGCTGGGAGCATACTACGGGTGCCCCAATCTAGCCATCACGAGCTGGATAGGGCTGCCACTATACACAGCGGACTTCGGGTGGGGCCAGCCATTCCATATGGGTCCGACTTCCCTAGGAGCGGACGGCAAGGCGTACGTGATCTCGACGGAGGATGATGGCATCATCGTGTATCTGCGATTGCAAACGGAGCACATGGAGAAATTCAAGGAATTGTTCTATGAGGATCTTTAATTATATTGTCTATTGTTTATTTTGTCGTAGAAGACGATGATGAAAATAAGTAGCGGTGAATATGTTTTTCTGTTTTTTTTTTTTTTTTTTGAATAATAATGCCTGTGTTTCAGTCGATTGTGACTCTCAGAAATAATTTATTGACATTGATTTTGATCATTTTGTACCTTTGAGACATTTTCTCTATACCTTTCGGATGAAGATGATATCGAGATATATAATTAATTTAAGTCATATATTGTGCTGATCAGAAAATAAACAACTATATTTTGTGTGTCATCTTCTCTGTTCTAATTTTATGGGATGTCTCCAAAGAGAAATTAACAACACATAAATGAATCACTAAAATGGGGTGACTGTGGGAGTAATATAATTGTTATTCTCGATCAGCTGGACCAATTTGCCACCTGGCATAATGGTGTATATATGTATGATGTATCACCAGTTCAACCCGTGGGCAAGGCAGACCTTAAACTTTATTGATTTTTATTAAATCACCTGGTGCGGTTTTTTCTTTCTTAGAAATTCCATTAATATGAATGCACCAATTCTTCTCACTTCTCAGTAAAAGGAAAATAGTCCTCTTCAGAAAAGCCTAGCATGTAAAGCATAATGTGGTGACAACAAAAGCTAGCTTTATAAGGTTGCATTATTCCTTTGTCAACAGGCTTATCGCACAAAAAAGGGTTTATCTATTAAGATACTTATTCTCTGCCATAATTATGACAGTTTAGATTTCCTATTATTAACTTTGATCAATTCTTTTCTCTATTAACCCAGTTAAAATATACCACCTGTCCCTAACCATGTTAATCCTACTTTTTCAAAAGGGTAAAATACAAAAAAAAAAAAAAAAAAAAAACTCCTCTCAAGTTTTGGCAATCACAAAAACCTCTTCTATATAAATCCATAAATACCTCTCCTCTGTCAATGAACAAGACAAGTCGTGTAGAATTACAATTTTACCTTTAAATGTCATCTAAGCTATTTGTAAAATGTCATTTTTGCCCTTACTCGAGCAACTCATTACAATTTCCATATTTTTTTTCTTATTATTTTTTTCAAATAAAAAACTTCTGAATTACACTATTTATATATATTTTTTTAAATTTTATGCTCAATAAGTTTCGTCCATGCACATAAACACCATTACTCATTTACAGGATTACCAGAAAAAAAAAAAAAAAAGTTACTCATTTACAAGGTTCAGCAACAACAACGCTAAGAAATGGCCAAAAGTACTGGAGGAAGAGACAACAAAGAACCTCCTATTGCAGGTGAGAGGATGTGCTCAATGTATCTTTTAAATGAAAACGTACCAACAAAGAACTTCCCAAGTTTTTGAGTAACTTAGGAACAGCATGCTACAGGACGGTATCTTTCTATTGGTCTATCCACTAAGGAGCAGCTGCTCCTTGACGAACCTCAGAACCAGGCTGGATTTCTCAGTATCCATATCACTCGAACCCTAAGCCTAACAGTTGCAGTGACGATAGTATTCGGAATATTCCACTTCCTAGAATATTTTATCCGTTTTCTGATTATTATTTTTCATCGGACGACGACCACTCTTAACCCCAGAGTTCGATTTCTTCACCGGACAGCGAGTGTAACTTTATTTTCGTTTATCTTGCAATGGCAATAGTACTCAAAATATTTCACTTCCCAGAATATTTTCCGATGATTATTCTTCATCGGGTGACGATGTTCTTTACGTACCACGGAGTTCAATTTCTTCACCAGACAGCGACAGTGAGTTTATTTTCAATTTCTTCCCAGTCAAGTGACTAATTTAAACTGCTAAAATGAATCCTTGTGCATTTGTTCCTCCTGGGTTTGTTCCTCTTCAGTTGTTCTCTTCAGATAGTAAGAGATGAAACTATGATAAGAAGAGAGGCCAAAGAGTATAACATATAGGCAGGGGKATTTTAGTAATAATAGGTGTATATTAATTCATAAAAGGGTAAAATATATATTTTCAAAAAAAGAAAAAGACGATCGGTTTAACGTTTCCGTCTTAGTCATTGACGAAAGGAAGATATTTGCCGATTTTTTAAAAAATAGAGAGGGAGGTTTTGCTAAAGTGAAACTATAGAGGAGGTCTTTATGATTGTTAGAAACTTGAGAGGAGGTTCTTGTATTTTACCCTTTTAAAAATGAAATATCAGTATAAATATTTTTGAAAAAATAAATCTTTATTTTCTCAATTACCCACAAATCACACCTTTCCTCTCTCTCTCTCTTGTGCGCTAAGGATGAGTTTCCAGAAATGGAAGATTTTAGAGCAAGTTATCTAGAATCCTACACCTTAAAACTTCTAGTTGTTAAACATAAAATGATATGCTTTTAACTTCTACATTTTTCTTCACTTTTGGATTCTCAAGGTAAAAACTATCTACTAAAGATATATACGACCTCCAGTTGATTGAATATGATATTATTCCCAAGTTTCTAGTAATGTTCTACAAGGAACAATTACAGATGCCTAATTGAATTCTCTACAATATATAAATCTATTTGGTTCGGACTTTTAGAGGAATTTAATTACTCACCACTTCCATTTCTCAACCCAGAAACTAATAAATTTAATAACATGATAAACAATTAGAATGGCTCATCTTTGTGGATGATGCTAAGTGTAATGTTCAAAATAAGCCATGTGAGGTTCCAGTTTGAGGCTTCTAACCTATAACAGTGACGAAGTTCAATGTTCTTAATTCAAACAGAGATGAACAGGTTTCTTGTGCTAATATGCACCTTTCAATTCAATTGAAAGTCTTTCATGAATACTAATTGATGAGGGCGGATTTGGTCCTCCAATGACATCGTGACACGTGGCATCTCGGAACAACTGGGTGACACCCAGGACCACTTAGGCAACAACTTAGCTAAGATGATGGTACCCTAAATTGGCGACCTGGCACAGGCGCCGACCTGGCGACCAGCCTTTATGCAAACTAGCGACCTCGACCACAACTCAGGTCGGCTAGAAGCACCTCGTCCAGGGCTGACCTGCAGCACCTTGTCATTGGCCGAAGTGACCTCGATGCAAAGAGCGACCTCCCTCGAGGGCGTGCCGACCTGACTGACGTCCAGGTGGCGACCTGCGAGATGTGCTCGCTGACAAATTCAGCACGCATATCCCAACACTCCCACGATCCTTGGAAGTTGGTCCACGTATCGAATGTTCCGGAGGGTGGTCAACGTGCATGGCGGTTGCCTCCGGGAATCTCAAACAACTTAGACAACCTCGCGGAAATCTTGAATACGATGCGTGAAGCCCATGCCAAATAATGCCTATATAAAGGCACCAACCCCAATGACATGGGGGGGGAGGGGGGAAAATAAGCATATTCTAGCTCTCATACTTTATGATATTTTAGCTCGCAGTCTACTATGAGAGTACTGACTTAAGCATCGGAGCGACTTTGCTGGGTTAGCCACCTCGGGTCCTTTGACATTGATTCCTTGCAGGTCTCTAAAGAATTACGAAGCTCAACAGTCAATCCAGCTTGCCACCAGTCAGCTCGACACCTAGCCTGCCCCCAGCTCGGCCTAGTCAGCTCGGCACCTAGTCCACTCCTAGTTCGGCCTGGTCAGCTCAGAATCCAAGTCCTCACCCAGCAAAACTCTCCACTTCGACCTCTGAGTCATCGGCCACTTGGAAGCAAACCGAATGATGAGGTACTTAGCACAAAAAATTGATTCATCAATTGGCGCCGTCTGTGGGAAACGCTACGAAAAGCTAAGTAATCATCTTCTAAAAGGCTAAGTCCTCTTCTTCTAGAAAGCTAAGTTTTCACCTTTTAGAAACAAAAGCTTTCACTTTCTAATTTCCATTTTTTATGAACTCAACGACTAAGCAGGAAGTTTCCAACAGACTAAGCAGCTCTGCCAACTTTATTTCAACTCGGATAAAGCCTCATCAGTCCTCTTCGCGAGGTACCCTTTACAAGATGAGCTCTTTGTGGCTTCCGCTGGAGTTGGCAGCCAACGGACTGCATGGACGCCCTTGCTAGTCGAGCCTTCAAGGGCTCCCGTGCGAGTTGGTGACCTAAAGTCAGTAGTGTTGCCCCCATAGGTCAAGCTCCTAGTAGCATTTTGTAGGAGTGGGTGACCGGCGTCACTAACGAGGTTGATGTAGCGCAGCCGTAACTCCAAAGTGTCGAACTGATAAAAGACCTTGGCACCACATAAGACCCAGTCGCCTCTTCGGTATGGGCAAAACCAAGGGTAAGGAGAGTGGATTGAGAGTCTTTCCCAGAGCCTAAAGGCTAAAGTGTTGAACTGATAAAAGACCTCGGCACCACATAAGACACAGTCACCTCTTCGGCCTGGGAAAAATCAAGGGTAAGGAGAGTGGACTGCGAGTCGCTTCCAGAGCCTAAGGGCCTAAGGTACCGAGCTGACAAAAGACCTTGGCACCACGTGAGACCTAATCTTCTCTTTTGCGTGGATGAAACATAAAGCAGTTCGCATTCAGTACGAGAAAACAAAGGAAAGACTAGTTCGCTCTCGGCACCATGATGGATGCAAACTTGATTTCTTCATACCCGACCTCCACCTCAGTTGCTGGGACCAGTTCGAAGGACATTGCGTCGAAGTCTACCTAGGTGGAGTGACCTAATAGATCAGTCACACAGAACCCCCTCTTAAGAACAGCGTGAGGAGCTTCACTCTTGAGGTACTTAGTTGGATCGCAGAATCTCTTGATGGTCACATCCCTAACAAGGTAAATGTCCTCAAGGTACTTGCTCCACCTCTCCTCGAGTAGATGAATTCGCTCTCGGGCCCCGAAAATAAAGATGGCGAGGTCCTGCACAAGACTGCAAACACTTGGACTCTTCCGACTTGAGAAGCAAATTGGATCAATGCTTACAAGCTCATCGAATTAGTAATTCCAGACCAAAAGGAGCAATCTACTCCCTCCGCTAAGTTACTTTCAGTTCGGGAGTGGGGGCAATTGATGAGGGCGGATTTGGCCCTCCAATGACATCATGACATGTGGCATCTCGGAACAACTAGGTGACACCTAGGACCACTTAGGCAACAACTTAGCCAAGATGATGGTGTCCC